AATCAGAGTCAACAAAATTTCCATTTGGTTTAAAAAAGTGTGTGTGTGTGTGTGTGTTTATGTACAGACACACATATGTGAGCATGCATATGAGAACATTAGAAGGAAATATTCTGGGGCACCTGGGTGCCTCAGTCAGTTAAGCATCTGCCTTTGGCTCAAGTCATGATCTCCAGGTCCTAGGACTGAGCCCTGCATCGGGCTCCCTGCTCAGTGGGGAGTCTGCTTCTCCCTCTCTCTCTGCCCCTCTCCCCCAATAGCACTTGTGCTCTCTGCTCTCTCTTGTGCTCTCTCTCCCTCAAATAAATAAATAAAATCTTAAAAAAAAAGAAGAAGAAGGAAATATACCAAAATGTTGACAAAGAAAAATAAAACTGTCATTTGGTAATCTCTATGCTTAAGGCAAAAGACCCTAAAAAAATTAAGGTTAATAATTTGTGTGAAAGATCGAAGACCTAAACATAAGAGCTAAAACTATAAAACTCTTAGAAGAAAACAGAGGTATTAATCTACATGATCTTGGATTAGACAATAATTTCTTATATATGACACCAAAAGCACAAGCAACAAAATATGGTTAAATTGGACTTCATTAAAATCAAAGTCCAATTCTTCAAAGGACACAAAGTGAAAAATATTGGAAATCACATGTCTGATAAGGGACTCTAAATATATAAAGAACTCTTATAATTTAATAATAAAAGACAACCCAATTTAAAAACAGGCAAAGGTTCTGAATAGACATGTCTCCAAAGGAGATATACAAATGCCAATACATTCTTGAAAAGATGCTCATCATATCAGTTATTAGATTCCAACAAGGTAACACTTCATATCCACTAGGATAGCTATAATCAATAACAAGAATGTGGAGAAATCTGAACCCTTATACATTGTTGGTAGGAATGTAAAATGGTGCAGCCACTTTGGAGAACAGTCTGGCAGTTCCTCAAAATACAAATTAGAGTTACTATATGACCCACCAAATCCACTCCTAGGTATATACCCAAGGGAAGTGAAAACATATGTCCAAACAAAACTTTTTACATTACTGTTCACAGCAGCATTATTCATAATAGCCCAAAATTAGAAACAACCCAAATGTTCAACAACTGGTTGAAGTTGTTGATGCATAAACCAAATGTGATATAACTATATAATGGAGTATTACTCACCAATAAAAAGGCCTGAAGTCCTGATACATAGTGCAACATGGATAAATCCTGAAAACATTGTGCTGAGCAAAAAAAGCTGGACACAAAAGGCCACACATTTTTTATTCCATTTATATGAAATGTCCAGAATTGGTGAATCTATATAGATGGAACGTTTATTAGTGGGTGCCTAAGGCTTGGCAGGGGGGAGATAGGAAAAACTGATGGGCAACAGCTAAAGGGTACCAGGTTTCTTTTTCGGGTGATAAATATGTTCTAAAATCGACTGTGGTGATAGTTGCCAACTCTGTGGATACACTGAAAACTGCTGAGCTGTACACTTTAAAATGGGGGAATTGTAGGGTATGTGAATTTTATCTCAGTAAAGCTGCTGTTTTTAAAATATTCCTGAAACATAGCAGGCATTCAATGAGTGAGAGAATAAATAAATGAGAAAATGAATGAATAGAAGCATATACCAAATAATGAAGAATATGGATTTGGAGACGGAAGTGGCTTAAATCTCAATTTTTCCATTTACTAAGTACTGGATTTCACTGAGCTTTTAATTTCTTCAACTCAAGCTGGGAATAACGAGGTGATGCCTATAAAGTGCAAATCCAGTGTAGGATGCTCAAGGAATGGTAGCTATTATGATGACTTATAATCATAAGCATGTATTTTCTTTGGTGATATGCAGAAATGAAGCAAATCACAATAAAGAATTCTGCTTTCAAATTACCACAGTAGAATATGATTAGACTTAAGATTAAGTTTTATTTGGGGAGAATGATCAGGAACTACCTTTTTTCTATGAGATGTAAACATAACCTAAGTCTGGTTCCCTTCACAGGAAAAAAGAAGTAAATCCTTCTAAGACTTGACAGCTTGTTGAATGAGAATGAATAAATGGAAGAATGAATGGAAATATACCAAATATGAATAAATATAGATTTAAAACAAAAGTGGTTTAAATCTTAACTTTACCACCTACTAAGTCTGGATCTCACTTAGGTTTATCTTCTTCAACTCTAGTTGGGAAAAATAATGAGATAGATGATGCCTATATAATGTTTGGTGGGGGGTGCCTGGGTGGTGTAGTTAGTTGGGTATCCGACTCTTAGTTTCGGCTCGGGTTGTGACCTCATGGTCATGGGATCAAGCCCCCAGTGGGCTCTGTGCACAGTGCAGCGTTGGCTTGGGATTCTCTCTCCCTCTGCCCCTCCCACTCGTGCTCTCCCACATGTGCTCTCTCTTCCTCTCTCTCTCTAAAATGAATAAAAAAATAAAATGTTCAGATAGGCAAAGTCCCTACTGCTCATTAGCAATCTTAGCAGATTAGAGCTACATTAGAAGCAAAAACCAGTGTCAATGACAGTAATGTTTTAATTGAGTGATAGGTTTACAGATGCTAATTATAGCGTGTACTAGATTTATAATGTGTACTCTTCTGCATATATCAAATATCACATACTCTTAAAAACAGATCATAAAACTAAACAACCAAAAAAAAATAAGGTCTGAGGACTGGATATTTTTATTTCTTGGTCAATTCATTATCTAGGTCAATGAACACCATTTTTCCTAAAGGGCAGCAGTCACTTTCATAGCAGAATTTCTCTCCCATATACAGGGAACTCAAAGCCCAGGTCCTAGATGATCCCTTTGCTGGGAAAAAACTATAACGCCAATACTGATTCAGTTTGAGCCATTTCTTTTGAATTAATCTGCATTAGCTTAACACATTTTGCAATAGGTTAACACAAGGCACATCTTTAAAATTGAGTGATTTTTGAGAAAACAGAAGCACTGATCTCAGCTGGTGATACAGACAGCATTTAGCCCAACACCAATAGGGACCCTGCACATCATATCACCACCACTACGCAGGATGGTGAGGGTTCTCATAATCAGGCTCACAGGCAGCCACTCTTCCCAGTGTCTATCCAGTGGCTGCTTACAAGGTTTCATTCAGTAAAGAGAACATTCCTATATTCCACAGTGCCTGATATTCTTTAAACAGAGACTCATTCATTTTGTTTAAAGCTTTATTCTCTGCTGAAATACACAGACATGGGGAGAAGTGGTAGATTATGCTTTAACAATCATTTACCCTGTGGTGTGATTGAATTCATCAGTACATACTCAATAAATACACATTTTCTTTCCTCCCTGAATGAAGAGATTTAAAAAAAAAGAGGGAAGCAGAAAATGTTTGAGGTGAAGAACGGCAGACAACCTCATCATTCTGCCTAGAGCCCAACCTGTCTATTTTTCATGCTGTTGGTTTCCAACTAGACAATCCTTCAAAGTTCTCAGAAATGAGTCATGATTAAAGAAGAGATTTAGAGTGTCAGCACAACCCTCAAGGCACCCTAGACTTCAACAGAAATTCCCAAAGTTCAAACCTAGAAACAGGGTCCATAATAGGAAAAACAAAGGAAGCAAAGATCTGATTACGGTTTAACCACTTAGGTCACGTCAGACATGGGAACAGGTCAGTTTCATGGGCAAAAACCTCTGGGTATTACTAAGGGAAACAGAAATAATTAACTATGAGGAACAGAAAGAGCATGACGTAGGAGATTTCTGGCAGATATATGCATGAGCAGTGGCAAAACTGAGTTTGGAAACTTAACCAAACTAAAATAAAACTAAAACCACTAAGAAAAAGAGTATTTATGATTTGCAAACATTCTCTCATTTGAAGAGAAATAATTACAGCATCTAATTGGGGTAAAGGAAGAGGAGAAACTACTTTTTTTGTGATCTGCTTAAACAAAGGTCTTATTCTGTTTATTATTTGTCCTTCATGAAAAAAGAAAGTCAGCCAAAGAGGTGAGTTTGCTTCCTGAGAATGCCCCTGGACGGGCATGAGTGCAAGCATACATGCAAATGCACATATATACGATACGTATACACACACACACACACACACACACAGCCCAAGTCACCTTTTCAATAGGAACTTTGGTTGCACAAAGGTGAGGACACAGGTACGTACCAGGCTGACAAATCTCATCAAAAAGAATCCAGAGCAGCCGCTCTCTCTGACCCTTGGGGCATCTTTGCAGAATTAAAAGCTGCAAAGGTCACTGACCTCATCACCTCAAGTTCCACAAGCAACTGAGGAGGGTTTAGCCAAGATTGTCAGCCAATTCAACTGGAAGTTTTTAAGGGTTTCAGGGACAAAATGGACTAAATAAGTCTTAAACAAATCATGTATTAACAAATTTGAAATGAACACCACAAATAAAATCAGTTGAGCTACAAACTTAAATTTGAGAATTGGTCTAAATCAATGTCATGCTCACCCTTTAAAGATAGAAACCTTTGTGCTCTAAGTGAATATAATCTGAATCTCTGCATTCAGAACTGTAATAGCCTTAACATAATTATGGTTGTTTGCTATAACCTCTGGTCCCTAAAGAAGGAAAATTATAATTATACCACAATGGTTTACTCAGTCCTACACCTAAAATCTAAGAACCCAATTAATCAGTCATCTCACACTTATTTTAAAGTTCCAGACAATATAAATGTATGGGAACTCTACCCACTACTCTATATTCTGTGATATTTAAGAATCAGGATTAGAACTTTTAAAAGTGTGGAAGGTAATGTCAGGGGCTTTTAAGAGTCAGAGCTGATAAAAATACTACCTCTTTTCTTCACTTAAAACCAGTTAGATCATACAATGAAATTAAAAAGCATTCTTTATGATTACTGAGAAAACCCTAGAGTCCCTTGAGTTCAGAAGGAATGTCACTCAGGTATTATATCTAATGTGCAAAAAAGGTTAAAGGAACATACTTGCCATGAGAAATGCCCAGTATTAATACTTACACAACCTCCAGCAAGGATTTCTGCTAAAAGTGGAATGGAGCCATCTCTTCTGGTAAATTTGTCCCGGACAAAATCATTAACCTAATCAGAAAGACATCAGTTAACTGGAATTCTCAACCATTTCATCCATTGGCATGTTATTGGTTTTCCAGGTCATCAAAATACCTGTCTCATGATAAAATAAAGAATTGTCAAATGTCTACATATAAGTTGAAAGTTTTACAAATGTCTTAATAGTGTGCCAGTCTCAGCAGCATCAGCATTAATTTTTGACTTAATGATAATCTAAACAAATGACATGTAAATTCAATGATAAGGAAACTTACAGTCAGTTTAATGGCCTTTTCTGGAGCAACCCCTATAAGTTGTGGTATCAGACCTACGTAAATAGAGAGAAGCATTAGCAATATGAATGTACTAGACATGAATATAGAAACCCAATAAGTAATAGTTTCCCCCATATTATTTACCTATCAAACCTTTTAGGGTTTTCACTAGAATATGGAAAAATGGATTATCCTAAAAAGTCTGCACATGTATGTAATAATTATTTATGTCAAATATAATGCTATGCTTTCTTGAGGCCACAGATCCTTTTCTTAAGCATGCTTCCTTTAAAGCCTAGTTATCTAACATCTCCCAAAAAGTACCTGAGGAAGGGATGGAGCCCATGATCTTCTCTACTCCCAAACCCTGCCAATAACAATGTAACCAAATTCCCTCCCTTTACAACCAACAACATACAAACAACACAAACACTTTAGAGAAGTCAATGCTGTGTTTGGAAAACCTCTGCAAAGCATGATGTTGAGTAGACCCAGATTTTGCCCACAAATGACGCTATTACCCTATGTAATAGCATATGGTGGTTTTGTTATTACAGAATACCAACTCCCATAATTTTCTCTTTAGAGAAAACCAGAATTCAGTACTCATTTATTTTGAAGGAAGCCAAAACTGCAAAAAAAAAATGCAGTTTTAAGTATCATTTAACGGGTGTCTTCTACAAGCAAAAACATATGCCTCCTGCATTCTTATTTACTAATATATGTCAAACTTAAGACATTTCAAAAGAATCTTCTTAAAACAAAGGAAATCATTATTCTTAGAAAGTTAAATTACCCAGGTTGGCTGCAAACTGGAAAAGAAAAAATATACAAACAATTCAACATCTGTAGATATTCATAAGGCTCAGCTTTCTAAAAGCACACAGATTATCCAAATTGCTGGCGTACATTTTTGCATACATTTTTAAAATATGCTAACAATAAACATTCTATACCCTTTAAATCACCCAGCCATGGGGGAGTTATGTATGTGTTTGCACACTCACTGCTGATCTTAAGCCTACTTTGAGGATACTGCTGAGTGATTTTCTATGAGTTGAGAGCCAGCAAGTAATCATACATACAGGCTACTGTCAGTCAAAGTGAATTATCAATGACAAACACAAATCTGCACACACCTTTAATGGGTAGCAGACTGATTTAAAAGAATAAATCAGCAGATGGCAGTCTTAACTTTCTAACCTTCATGATTATGAGGCCCTATTACTTTTAATCTAACTTCCATACAACCATGTCAGCGTGTGTATTTGTTTTACAACTTGCCTCAATAAGGCTCATGGAATTTTAATAAAGTACTGATTTATGTCATTTTATCACTATTGCCTGCAAAGAAATTTAAGCTAATCTGTCAACAATTCTGTCAATCATCTGACAGAATAATGGACCAGTTCTAAGCAATATATGACAATCTCAATAATCATAGTGTTCACATACAGGACTCCTACAATCTTCTCCCTGATACAAGAGTCCCTCATTTAAAGAACTGATTTTATCAGCTCACATCCTGAATAAAGCTAACAATCCCTCCACCTCTCCCCACCCCCAAACTTGCCATATCAGACCCATTTAATTAACATGGCATCTCTCTGAAATGAAATTTTCTCTAAGCATCCATCCATTGAGAAGGCTAAACTGTGCAGTATACATCCAGGTTACTTCTAATAGAAACATTCCCTTTAAAAGTATACCAAGGAGGAAGAAAGGTTATTATTCAACAAAGAAAGACTGGAGATGACAAAGGAAAAAAAAAACCTTAGCACCACTCAACCCTCCTTAAATTCCTCACTGAATAAAATCTAGATACGCAAGGTCTGATACATCTTAAACTAAGCATTCCCATGCACAGATCTCCATTCTGGACAACACACACCTTTTCCTATGGAGTAAGTACATGTTATACAGCTAGAATTTAGAGAGGCTAGAGTTTTGAATATTTGAGTAAAATTAACTACATGCATTCTTAGGAGCAGGGTATTTGAGCCTAGTTTGATTTGACCACTCTCTTTTCTTAGTCTCTATATAAATGCCAAAAATGAACATCCTCATGACCCTCTCCTTTAAATGTAAGTATATCAGAGATACATTTTTCACTCGAATATCTGCAAATAACGCTAACCAGAGGTGTTTTTTTTCTCCTTTCTGTGAGCAGAAGCTTTGTGCAGTTCCAATCCTTCTTTCCAAGGAAGAGGTTCTAAGCCAAACAGTTCAACAGAGCTCAGAGTGAGCTAGGGATTAATGAGATCGTGTGTGCAAACAAATAAGTACAGTAAATTACATAAACGCTCTGGACTTGAACATGTATAGAATATTTTCAAAGAATTCCAAGTGGCGCCCAAAGGGATTAAAAAATTAATCTCCCTCCCAAAGGAAACTCTAAATTCTTATGTGAAAACATGTACATGAAAGTCATTCCCTCTCTAAAAAGAACAAGTTCCTACAAAGCCCACGGGGGTGGGGAGAATTCTACAAGGGGCTGTTGCCTCTGATGCAGACAGCACTGTGCTCAGCCTCCACTTGGTGGTAACATTGCCTGCGAAAGAAAATCTCTCTGCTCTTACTCAGTGCCTCTGAGCTAAGGGGAGGAAAGTGAAGCCAAAGGTTTTCTTTTACTCATTTTTTTAACTTCAGATGACTCACTGAAAAAGAGACTTACGAATGGTCTCCTTGGAAGAGACAAACACATCTGATATCTCTTTCAATTGAAACAAGTACACAGAGGGTAAACTCACCACCTTCAAGTAACAGCCTGGCTTCAGTTTCACAGAGAAGAGGTGCATCTCTCTTCTCTAACTCTGAGAAAAGCAGCTCTCTACTTCTTAGCTGTCATCCTTTATTCAATCTGCAGACATGTGCCTGAGTTTCTAAGAGCACAGTGACCAGAGACTCATGCTGGGACAAATGCAGGATTTGGATTCCATGAAATATAAATATCAGGAAGAAGAAATGAAGGCCTTGTCTGCAGACTAATATTGCTAGCTACTAGCAAGGATGTCAAAAGGGAAGCAAGCAACAAGAAAATAAAAAGAGAGAAACTGCTCTAGTCTGACTGGAGAGGGTACACACTGATCTTCATAATGATGGAGTTAAAATCTGCTGCTGGGGAGATAAAATCACTAACTTCAGCAGCTGAGATACACTTACTCACCCCGGTAGAGTCCAAAGAAGCCCTCATAACGCAAGACTTTCTTAAAACAGTCAAAGCTGTTTTTGTACATCAGCTCCCCAACCACCGAGCCAGTGCCACGCTGGTTTTGCATGCGGGTCTTCACCAAATCTATAGGATACACTGCGGTGGCTCCCACGGCTACAAACAAAACAGGTTTTAGGCTTAAACGAGAGCACAATTAAATGGAGGATCTTTAAGGACAAATCTCATCTCAGAGGACTAGAAAACAAAACTCAGTTATCTATTTCTCACAAAAAAAGAGACTAAGTGCTTTTTCCTTCTCCCGTACACCCTGCACCACTGAAGGATGACAGGCTAGCAGTTGGGATCCATAAATACAGCTGCTTCAGAGAACAACTGCAGTGGATTTTCAAGTCATCCCCAACATTAAATAACCAAGACTTGATTTTTTGTAACAACATGAAACTATTATATGTTACATATTTCTTTATATTTTCCATTCAGTGCCTAAACATAATACCATTTACCCCTTAAAATAACCATATATGTTCACACAGGTAGCTGTAATTTTAAAATTTAGTTTACTAAAGGATTTTGGTAAATTAATCTTTGTTATGAGCATAATATCGGAACCAATCTCAACATGACCTTATCCCTTTGTACAGAATTTGGTCTTTAAAAAAAAAATGCCAGGCTTTAGAATTTTTCAGAGATTGAGAAATTTATAAAATGAATTAGAGAGTTATATTTTTCAACTGTTGAAAACCAAAACATGTTCTGCAACTTCTAAAACTGAAACTGAAAAGAAAAAAAAATAATAGTTTCATCAGTTCAGGCTTGTTTTGAAAAATCATAAACATTTTAATCGCACCTCCTAGGTTCTTCTCAACAAAGCAACTTCAGATTCTACACATTTTCTATGGAGAGATTTAAGCCAAAAAAGCCTCCCAAATTTTGCCCAGGAGCCAGGAGGGGAGGTTCCTTTTAGCAAATAGTTAACTACAAGCCTAGATATTCTTCAAGCAGTAAAAAAGGGAGAGGAAAAAAATACAAGTAGAAAAGCCAAAGTGAATCACTTTAGGAGGTTGTCTTACTTCCTAAGGTTCTGGGATTTCTATCCCAAATCTTGATTTCCTACCTGCCCTTACCCCCAGCACCATTAACACAGTATCATTTCCATTTCTTCATCCTGGTTCTCAGCAGGGTGATTAAGGTGAGGGCAGCACACATCCAGACTTTCACTTTATTACAGAGCTTTTGTCCTGAAGACAGGCTGGAGCCCGAGGGGCCACGGCTGTGCTGCAGCAAGTCCTCTGATCACAGGTAGAAATCAAGAACACTTCGGAAAGCTCTGCAGTCATGTCCCGCAGGAACAATGAACTGCACCTCTGATCTGTCTCAGTCTAGTGAGATGATATTACAACAACACAAGCTGGGAACAGCACAGAGCCATGTCACTCACCTCCAGCAACTGAGCCCAGAGTGAATCTATAAGCAGACTCGGCTATCTGGAGCCAGACAGGCCTGCCTAAACCGTGAGATTGCTGTGGGGAGGAAAACATGTAAAAAAAATTTTGGAAAAGTATAAGGCAAAAAAAAAGCTACAAATCAGCTATTTTAAGATTTTTTAAATAGATACCTCAATTAGCATTTAAAAACCACATCCAGCCAAATAGACACCGTTGCTTTTTTCTCCATTTTTTTTTAACAAGCCTATTAATAGCTGATTTGTCTGCTACTATTGGGGAATACACTATCACTCCAGAGAGGTAAATAAACATTTCGGGTATAAAATCCTTTCCCCCTTCTTTACTGTAACCAACCTAAAATTTTAAAATATTTCTAAAATGTACAAGAACTACCTTGAGGGGCGCCTGGGTGGCTCAGTCAGTTAAGCATCCGACTCTTGATTTTGGCCCAGGTCAAGAGCTCTGGGTCATAAGATCGAGCCCCGTGTCAGGCTCCATGCTCAGCAGGGGACCTGCTTGAGTTTCTCTCTCTCTCCCTCTCCCTCTGCCTCTCCCCACCCCGCTTGCTCACTCACACATGCTCTCTCTCACTCTAAAATAAATAAAATCTTAAAAAAAACCAACAGTACCTTAATTCCTAAATCAGAGAATACTGATCATAATCTACCTTCTCTAATGACTGAAAGTTGTCCTATTCCTAGGTCCATCGGTTACTGCATCAAGATCTAATGCAGCTGGTTGTGCTATCTTCCCATGCCTCACAGACTTTACTTCTTTTACCAACAGCCTCCTAGTTTGGTTTTGCCGCTTCTTATTAGGGCTGGAGAAATCACGTAACTACAACTGTTAGAATTATATTTGTAAAGCAAAGTCAAATGCTTCTCTTCGGGGCCAAAGTGAAAACCTTTAATAACGACTATTTCAAGTGCTGAGAGCCTTGGCCCCCTTATTTCTGGCTTTACAGCTCACCACTGAAGTTATCACTACTTAACTACAGTATTTCTGACCTATGTTACCGAGCATTTCCTCTCCCAGACCTATGTATTCTCCAGCTATACCTATGCAAAGAAAACAGCTGAGGGGCTTTAAAAAAATAAATTCCTAAGGCCTGGAGCTTATCTATTTTTTAAAGCCTTCAAATCATTCTGCTATACAGTTAGGTTGAAAACCACTATCCTAGCCACATTTATAGTTCCACCATAGAATCTATAATGATAATAATGCAAAGGAAAAAAACCCTGTTGTGACTCAATATTATTTCATAGGTAATCCCACAGCATAAAGGATCTAAAATAATTGGTCTATACTTGTCTGCCAGTCTCGTTCTTTAATATTTTCTTCATGAAGACAGCAGTTATGCTCTATAAACAGTTTGAGATGAAAGAATAAAGAATAAAATATTTGGTTTATCATAAAGGAAACTTGAAACATATTAACTTGGAATAAGCTTTTAAAAACCAGCATAATAAAAATAGATACACTCATTAGAATAATTTAATGGAGAGGGAATCCATACCTAAAATCTAAAAGAAGGGAAAAAAAGCTAGTCCACTCTGACTTGCTTTAATCTGTACAATCTCTTCAAAGCTCAATTAACCAAGCTAAATATGGCAAACCCAGATATTTACAAATAATCTGAGAAACAGCCGTAGAAAGGTTTTATCTGCTTGTTTTGTAAATTTTGTACCACAATAAGCGTGTTTTCAGTTTTTAACCAAAGCATCTGATACCTAAATATTTAATGATTATGATTTGTGTAGGTAGAGATCTTTTAAAAGCTCATTATGTTTGCCAGTACTGTAGTTCAATAAATTTTATAGTAAAAAGGAAAATAAATAATGTTTGATGAAAAGTCAAAATGAAACCCTCGGAAGACCCTTGGCAAAAAAAAAATGGTACACCATTATTTCAAATAATATCAGTACATATTTTATAAATCTCAACTATCACAATATGCTAAATTTATTATAATCCAATTAGGTGAAAGTATACATCTATTACTTGCAAAACTGAATTTAGTATGTGGAAGAAACCATCATCAAAAAGGTGGAAAATTACAGAGTAGTACATTATCATGATCTTGTAGGAAATACATTTTTTCCTATCAAGTTAGCCCAAGCAACTACACAGTCATCCATTATGTTTAATTTACATGCTGCAACAAAAGTGAGCAATTAATAATTGGAAAGTGATATTTTTATTTGAAATCTAATAAGGGAAAGAGTAGGATAGTTTAACAAAACCTTGAGTATAAGCTTAATTTTGATTCATTCATAGAATAGCAAAAAATGGGCCCTCCAAAAAGATAATTACTTTTTATTCTCTTTATCACTATAATAATAACTCTAATTTTATTTATTTATTTTATAATAACACTAATTTTAGAGTGTGTTGAGATTTATTATCTCCCAAAGGGTGAAAGTACTTTACCAAGTACTCAAGACCTGTGCCCTAATGCAGCCCTCGGGGGGCGCAGTGTCTTTCAATCTTCTGTAAATAAACTCCCTTGTGAGACCATCAGGAGGATGTTTTCAGCAATTTCTGTACTAATTTGTCAGTTGGTCCCCTGTGCACACAAAGGTAAGATGGCCATACAAGAGACAGGACAAAAGACTTGCTACGGGTCCCATCGTGAGATGGGGAATAAGCAGAGCAATGGCGCAGTTTCCTGCCCACCCAAGGATGATGCAACTCTCCAGCATTCTTTAAGTCAACAGCTCCGGCAACTCTTTGGGATTGAACACTCCTGCCAGGAAGATTTTAAGCGTCTAACCCCAATATATGATTTCATTTATAAATCATATACATAGTTCCCATTGTAGTAGTAATATCTATATAAATCTAAGTAATATGCCTTATTAAATTACAGAGTATGCATTTTAAACATATACAAAAGTAGAAATTATAAAAGAATGATATGAAATAAAATGGTTTTTTAAAAATTTTATTTTCATTTATTAATCCAAAAATCTTTTTGGCATCACTTCAATGTATTATATTGACTAAATATGCTTGTTAGTTTTTTAAACATTGATTGAACAAAGTGAAGCTAACCAGTTAATTGATACTCTGTTTCAAAGATAACATAGTTGAAAACACAATGGGTATCTTCACAGCAAAGATGATGTTTTTAACATCACGTATTTTGAAGAAATTCAAGTAATGGCATTTTAGCTTAGATTTAAAAATTTTTAAAAATCAATGGGGCTGTTATGCTACCTTTTAAACACACAGCAAATATGGATTTTTTTTAAGTTTTTAAACTCCAGTTAGTTAACATACAGTGTACTATTAGTTTCAGGTGTACAATACAGTGATTCAACAATTCCATACATTACTCAGTGCTCATGGTGATAAGTGTACTCCTTAATCCCCATCACCTATTTCACCCATTCCCTCACCCACCTCCCCTCTGGTAACCATCAGTTTGTTCTCTATAGTTAAGAGTCTCTTTCTTGGATGGCAAATATATTTTTAACTTCTAAAAACATGCACATAAAGCTTTTTTCCAAAATGGAGTTTCTCAATCACAAAATGGAGTGAAAATAAGCCTCATTCTCATAGATTGTTATTTTTAACCATGTCTCCTTTCAAAAGAATATGTTGAACTAAAACTCATAGAATAAAAGGACTATGATCCCAAATAAGAATCAAGTAACCATTAATCCTTATTCATATGAAAAGTCTCTCCTGTGTTCAACCACATATATTTTCTTTACCCTCTCTTCCTTTAAAGAATGTTTATAAGCTCTACAAAATCCTATGAAAACTGAAGGATTATAGTGTGCTTTAATTCTTAGCTAAAAACATCTCTATAAATGCCAAAATGCCTTTTGGGCTCCGTCCTTATTAAATAGCATTTATTTTTTTTAAAAAATTACAATATATGGTCAGTAAGAAGGTTTTTTCAAGCTTGGCTAGCACTGTAACTTATGGTTCACTTGTATTCAGGTATGTAAATTAATTTAATTAATGCTATGGATTTCACCTCATGAATATTCATAAGTAGAAATGCTACTGTAGCTGTCATTCCTATCAATGACTGTGTACTGAATTTTTAGCATTTAGGCTGAAAGTAAATACTCAGCCCTAAGAGGAAGATTGCCTACTGTGAGCAAATGGGCCAAAGGAAAAGGCACTCTTTCCCTTAAGGTTATGAGTATGATCATGAAGGTGATATTTAAAAGATTAATTGTTTTTCAAAGCAAAATAAGAGCTGAGAATCTTAACTGATTTTTAACTTGCTCCCTAAGCATATGTGTATGATAGGAAATGACTTGAGACCTCATTTGATAGTATAAAGTTCTTGTGCTTTTGCTGTTGAATGCATCTCATTCTATAAATGAGAATTAGATAAGGCAAGATCATTCCAGTGAACAAGTCAAACTACCTGCCCAAAACACGCTGCTTCAGGCTGTATGCCCACCCAATAAAAAGAACTGCCCCTTCAAAATAGCACACTGGGCGCCTGGGTGGCTCAGTTGGTTAAGCGACTGCCTTCGGCTCAGGTCATGATCCTGGAGTCCCGGGATCGAGTCCCACATCGGGCTCCCTGCTCAGCAGGGAGTCTGCTTCTCCCTCTGACCCTCTTCCCTCTCATGCTCTCTATCTCTCATTCTCTCTCTCTCAAATAAATAAAAAATCTTTAAAAAAAAAAAGTTCAAAATAGCACACTATTAATGGAGAGAAGAAAAGGAAGGAAAAGCTGAAGATTTTTGTACTAAGCACACAAGGGGGGAAGAAAAAGGCTAGATTTTAATACCTACTGAAATGTATGATTGGAATGGCAAAATAAGTCCAGGAAAAAATAAAACAAAATTCTTTACCTATAAATCACAACTGGATTTGAATTCAATATTCTTGGCCTTATAAAACAAGATTAAGTGTCTGTGGGATTTTTGTTTGTTTTGTTATTTAGCTACCTCATATAAGTGAAATGAAATGCTATTTGTCTTTCTCTTAGTTCACTTAGCATAATACCCTCTGGGTCCATCCATGGTGTCACAAATGGCAAGATCTCATTCTTTTTTATGGCTGAATTATATTCCTCTGTGTGTGTGTGTGTGTGTGTGTGTGTGTGCGCGCGCGCGCACGTGTGCAGGTTTGTAAACGTACCACATCTTTCTTATCCATTCATTTACTGATGGACACCTGGGTTACTTCCATGTCTTGGCTTTTCTAAATAATGGTGGCCAGAGGGAAGGTGGGTGGGGGATGGGCGAAATAGATAAAGGGGATTAAGAGGTACAAACTTCCGGTTATAAACTAAGTATGTCACAGAGATGAAAAGTATGGCACAGGAAATATAATCAGTAATTTGTAAGCTATATTAATAGACATTAACACTGAAAATTATCTCCTTTTCAAATGCACTTTTTTAAACTTCAAGAGCAAATTTTTATAAATGTACACTACATAATGCAAAATTAAATTCACTAAGCTCTTTAAATATTTCAATGTCTCAATTATTTAATAAATTTATTAAATTTTATAAATCAATGAACTGGAATAAATCCACCTATTTTTTTTAAAGGATCTGAGAACATTCATGGAAATAAACTTTGATGGCAGCAGATAATAATCTTTTGCTACTAAAGAAGCTAAACTGTAATGGGTTACAGGTATATTTACATCTGCAGGAAGCTTTATTGCATTACAAGCAAAGAAAGTATTAACATAAAATGTAGATATAAAAGCAGTATTTTCCATTTTCAATCTACTTAACTAACTAAAAAGTTCTTGCTTATTATGTAAAGTAGAACTAGAAATTGTATTTAGCTTCAGAGGCAGAATCATCATTCCATGGAGCTCAAGCAAAGAAAAATTTCCTATCAAAATTTCCCAAAGTGAACCCCACTTACATGCCTGATCTTTCACTAGCACAGATGGCTATTCACTCATGTGGCAGCAATGAGGAAAAAGCAGACTTGGGCTCTGTCTGTGGCATGCCCATTTAGTTTTTTTTTCTCTCTCTCCTTGTTTCTGGTCTTCTTCCCTGTCTCCCCACACCCTTTCAATGTCTCCTAGGGCACCACAGTCTCCTAAGGAATCATGTGGGACACAGGCCTCATCTATTAGAGCAGGGAAAACAGCAGGAGGACAGGGAGTAGCCCTCTTAACCTTCACCCCACACACAAAGCCATGTGACCATCACTACAACTGAGGCTGCCTCCAAGTACTACAGAAGTTAAGGGTTTCAATTTAAAACAAGACCTAAAAGGGGCACCTGGGTGGCTCAGTCGTTAAGCAACTGCCTTCGGCTCAGGTCATGATCCCAGGGTCCTGGGATCGAGCCCCGCATCGGGCTCCCTGCTCCACGGGAAGCCTGCTTCTTCCTCTCTCACTCCCCCTGCTTGTGTTCCCTCTCTCGCTGTGTCTCTCTCTGTCAAATAAATAAATAAAATCTTTAAAAAATAAAAAAATAAAAAATAAAACAAGACCTAAAAAAAAGAAAATACTTTTCCATTCTACTCTTCCACGTAGTATCACGGGGTTTATTTTCCCACTAAGGTAGTATTTTTGAAATCAGAAATGGGACTGTATTAACTTTATGGGACTCAGAGCTATTGCTTAAATCATCCTTTAAGAAAAAAATGCTAATATTTTATCAAAAATGTAATAATAGTCAAGGTTTTCTTTCTGGTTCATTAATTTCATAGTTTTCCTGTGTTATTATTGTAATCTATCAAACACAATCTCAGTGAAAGATTTACTTCATTAGAAGACTGTTTTACATTTTAAAAGCCCTATAAATATCAGTCCAATGATTCAAAATGAACTTAACACTAATATCTAAATGTCACTATACAAATGAAAGGAAAAGACTGCTAGTTCTAGGAAGAAGGAAGTCAAGCCCACGTATGTTTGCACTCTTATTTTCCTTATCTTAATAGCTAAAAGAAAAAAAACCCCATAAATTTAGTTCCCCATAAAAATACTCCATGAGGGTGGGGTAACAGTTCTATAAAGGTAATCTTTGAGCTAAGTAGAGTGTTTTTCTGGAAAGTAGTTTTTAATTTTCATAGCATTCACAGGCTCTAGGCTGTGGTGTACATATGATTTCAGCATTTTTGAAGGTGATTCTATTTATGAGACTCCTCCTACCTGTCTCTGAAGTTCTGCCAGGTTGTAAGGTAAGGCGCCCTCAGCCAATGGAGCTATTCTCTCAATATCTGCCAAAGTCAAGCGCCTTCAGGCAAAAATATGGGAAAGGAAAATGGTTAGACACCAACAAACTCCTCATACCAAGATCATATTTCTTCAGGAAAAAAGGACTGGAGAAAAGAACTATGCTTTAAAAATAGTATTTCTCTATTGACCCAGATCATTTTTTAGTGAGAAAAAAATCTCCAGGCCCAGGTTCCCACAACAAAAAGCAAAAGACCCCAGAAAAATAATGTGGAATACATAAATTTAATAAGATTCCCCAATGATACATAATAAAAGTAAAGAACTAAAATTACCAGAAACAAAGTATAGACATTGACAGTTCATATATACTAAAGGTATTTCTTTAGCGTACATATTTAATGCGTAGGTACAAAGTACCTTGAGAAGGATAAACACAAAATAAATACTACTTGTGGCCTTTAAGGAAAGGCACAAAGGTAGAAGAGAGACTTTTTATGGCACCCTCTTTTAAACTGCAAGTTTTGAACCATGCACTACTGTTTTCAAAAAATTTACTTAAAAATAAGTATGTTCCATGAACAAGGTAGGTCCTTCAGATCCAGTTTTGAAAAGCATTTTTTTGAAACCATTTATTATCATGAAGGAGGCTCAGAATCTTTGCTAAAAATGTGAATTCTAGATGGATGAGACGTGGCCTGATGTTTCACGTCAATCCCCAAAGATGGGGTGGTATGTTCAGTATCATCTCCAGCCCAACAATTCATTATGTAGCATGAAGGCAATAAATCACCCAGGTATACTCAGCTTCTATTAGTCCTCAGCTCTATGGTTAAAACCCATTTTTCAGATATTCTTACACTTAAATAACTTCTAAAGGCATCTAAAAAAAAAATCTTATTACTTAATAGAGCATATGTCCCCTATCCCACAAATCCTGCCAGAGATGAAGGTTTTTCTTTTGGATTTGCAAAAGAATTCTGCAAATTAAAAACTCTCAATGTTCTTTGGTTTTTTTAGTCTATGACGTGGAGGCATAAAGCATCTGAGCTTGTCCGTGATGGTAATTATGATGATAATGTCACAGGCATATTTCACAAAAATGATACCCTCTAACACATATATACTATTCAGTAAAATGACCATTTACAATGAACCAAAAAGATTGTAAGTCTCCTGAACATGTACTTCAGTTTATTTGATAAACTTAGGCAAATTTTCACAAGTCTCTTACATTTAATCGAGTCCAGATGAAATCAATTTTTCCCAACCGTCTCTTGCTTCTCGCTCCCCCTTACTCTCTTTTTTCTTCCTTCCCCCTTCTTCCTCTCAGGCCCCTTAAGCTAACCTTGTTCTTTTACCTCCCTCTCTCCATCTCTTCCCTCCCTCCCCCCCCCGCCCTCTTTTCCCTTTCCCTTTCCTTTCTCCCTTTCTCTCTGTCCATCTCCCTGACCTAAGGGTCTGTCTTCCTCTGTCTCTCCCTCCTCCGGTTTCTCATATCACCTCTCTCTCTTTCTTGGGATTTGTAGACTGAATTAACTACTGTTAAAATGAACTAAAAGCATACCCCTGCTTTACATGTTAAAGGAACTGTCCTATAATAAATAACACAAAGAATTATTGAAATAGTTACCCTGTAGCATTATATAAGTCTGCAAGTTGGTAGAGGATATCAATTTCTAGTGGGGTGACCTGTCCATAGCGTATGGCGCTCTGGGCAAATTCCTCTAGAAGAAAAAGAAAGTATTTTAAAATCTTAAAAATCCTTAATATGCTTCTACTTTACCAACTATAATCTGCAAGCTAAAGGCATCTTAGTATTATTTTAAAAATCTAAAACTTAATTTAAATACATAAGTTCAACTATGTAATTCTGAAAGCTGGCAAAAGATAAAATGTTAACATCATGAACAGCAAAAACAGATAAATTAATTTCAAAGATAAAGCAATCTCTTTAGAATCCTCCCTCTTATCTTGTTTATTTGCTTTAGTCTCCAGGATTACAAGATAAAAGAATTGGCTATTCTCCAATCACCTAAAACACCCTACTACAATATAGCAGAAAGAATAGGCTTGCCCGTCTTTCTGTGGCAACTCTTTCCTAGAACAAACAAGCTGCGCCACACTGCCACTGACCAGTTTGACAGACTGGGCCAAGGTTCTTTTCAAAACTGTCAAAGCCACTTTTCCATTCCTGACCCCAGCATCCCATTAATTCCACCTGGATTTTTGGAGACCACTAGGGCCCAAGTGAAGCATATACACATAGCAACATACTTTCTGCATCTGGCTTCAGAGTGGTAAACTTAGATCAACCTCATGCCCTAGAGAAAGAAAAGTAAAAATACAGATTCAAATCAATACATATTTTTAAAATCTTACCCTTTGTGACTTCAACATCTTTCCTCGTGCCGGCTAGAGTGCTATATATCTTACGAACAAGCTCCATGTTATTCAGTAAGGAGTTAAATGCATTGAAGTAGGAGAAGCTAACCTGATGTGAGATACTTCCTCCAGCTGCCTAGGAAATGACAAACACAAAAAGTTTAAAAAACAAATGAAAACAAAAAAAACACGCTTAAGGATACTACACTTTTCCCAAAGAAGATCCAAAGGACTCTTCATTACTAAAGTGATTAACAACCAGTCCATAAATACAAAGAAAGTATCGTACTGAAACAGTGCGTTTCACGCCCTCAGGGAGGTCTATGTTATTTAGGTTTTAAGGAAGAAAGCAACATCTGGAAGTTGGACTTCACAGTTCCTCTACCTATAAGGTCAGAAACAACAAATACAATTATCACAGATCACAAACAATAGTTATTTAAACAGGATTTTCAAGATCTTCAACTATGGAAGTCTTGCTAGTCCAGCATAATTCAAATATCAATGTACAACGTAAGGAGTATTTTTTAAACTTGCTTTTATTCCTATACACATACACAAAAAACCAGTGCTAACTGTAGATTTTAAGACTATTTCACTATATCAACCTCCTAATCTTTTTTTTTTTTTTAAAGGCCACTGTTATAATTAAGATATTTAACAGTCTGTGCTGGGCTCTGAACCTACATCATGACAGGTACAACTACCAAAAATTCCAAAAAATGTAGAGAAAATCTAGAGAGGATTTATTCACCATGAATTACATCTTTAGTGGAATGGTGCAGAAGAGGCCCATGCCTGCGGAGCAATGGGGGGCAATGTGGCCTTCATTACTTCTGCAAGGTGAGGAGGTTAAGTTCTCCCTCTGCCTACCAGTTGGACATCAACTCAAAAGAGAGTATTTTTCATAGTTTGTAAAAGCCTAATTTCTAAGCCAGGAGTCAGAGGAACCCATATGATTGAAAACATTCTCCATTAAAAACTCAAAGAAATACTTATGGAAATGCCAGCGTGACCTTCATCATAAAGGTCTACTAAGAACAGTGTAGGTAATGATAGGCAAATGCACCCATCCCTCACATACATGCCTTAACCCAAATATAGATGATATGTGTATTAGCCTGAACTTGGATGCCAGTGACCCAAAAGCAGAACTCAAATTATTTAATACATTCCTTCAGGAAGTGAAATGCCATTTGGTAAGTTGAAGCTAAAACAGGTCTATGTAACCCAATTGGAAAAGATTAAATGGGTCCCCTCACTCTGAGGCACTGAGCTGAGTCCTTCCCTCTAGGATATCCCCCCACCACTACCACCCTCTCTCCCTTTCTTCCCTTCCTTCTCTCATTTTTTGGCTGGGGTATGAGGTAAGGGTTCAGGGAGTGGGAGACGGGTGTCAAGGAGGTGAAATGTGTAGGACAAGGTGACATGCTCCATGTTCAAATTCACTGAAGAAAAAGAACAGAAGTTGATCTTTCTACCCCGGTCTAAATCAGGGATAATGATCTTCAGCTGAAACAACAAAAGCACTCATTGGCTTCCCCCTATTTAAAACAAGCAGCCATCAAAAACTTACACATAAGTACAATGCATGAACAAGAAAACTGGTAAGTGAAGAAAGTTTCACCACTCTTTGTGAGGAAGTGAATGACATCAGTTTGCTATTGGCCCAGATGATTACTTTGTAGAGATTAGCAGTTTGACAGAACAACAACAACAAAAATCCGTCTGGTCCATGCAGACTGAATACACAGGTGAAGGGGCAGAGAGGAGGGAGCCACAGAGGCTGATGCCCACATTTCCTCCGTACCTTCTGCCACGGCCATGGTTATTAAAACAGTGTAGAGGGCAGTGATGATTCCTCTAGCAAACAGCACCCTGCAGGCAACAAAGGAAGGAGCCCTCTTTATAGCAAGGCTTTATAGCAAGCCTGGGGGGATGGAAAGAGGCCAAGGTGAAGGCAGTAGTGTCTGGGAGAGGTACTGCTGCTGGAAAAAGTAATTATACACCCTTGTCTACAAACTCCCTTGTTTTCTTTAGTTGAACTCTGTAAACGGAAATAAACAATTTGGAAATCTATGAGAGCAAGATGGTGGCTCTGAAAAAGCTATGATCTGGGGAAAGACTATTCACCATCACCCCCACCTCCCTTACACATACCTGTTTACCTTCTACAACCAAACATACAGTTAGAATACTAGAGAGTTTGATGGGTCCAAGGAGGCAAGCCAGGACCCAATGGTTCAAAATTTTTAAGGAAATACAAAATGAAGTACTTGCTTTCTACTTACTGAAACTAAGTTCTCCTCCACGAAGGGAGTGAGCATGTGAGACCGAATGGTAACCATGATGTCACTGAAATCCAGACCGGAAATCATGCCACTTTTGCTTTTGTCTTTCAGTGCAAAGGCTTGTCTTGCGTGTTCCAACTGTAGCTCCTAGAGAGAAAAGTTAGAAATAGGACATTAGATTGGTCAAAGCACATCCCAATTGCATGTTTTGAAAAGGAAGGACATTCTGTCCCTACATGCACTTACTACAGAAATCAACACAGTAGAGCTCTGAATTTATAAAACTTTTGATTTCTTTTAAAAGGAACATATTTTCCTGAAAATGTACTACACACTATTCCTCAGGAAGAACGAAGCACAGCATGGCAATAAAGAAAAGGGAGGAGGAAAAAACCCTTCATTTACTTGAAAAGTTTCCAGCACTGAAAACAGTTCTGTGCTTTCCTTCAACTTTTAAAATGTATTCTCTCCTGCTTGAAGGCATTCTTATCCAACGGTAATTTCTGAATTAAAAGTTTAGATTCATTTTCAGTATTTCAATTTAAATACTGCAATTATAATGTCTCTTTCTCCCTCTCAATGAATTAGAGACTACTTTTCAAACAATTTTTAAAAATGAACTTCGTGAGAAACTACTGACTGGTAAGAGCAATACTTAGTAATTCTAACATGAAAGTTATGAATAACAAACCGATAACTAGTGTTCAGCTATCACTCTGTCTGGCTTTGAGCAGCAGTTACTCATAAACTGTAAAATAATCCAAAAGATCACTGAACTTTTAAACTATTGGGCAGCCAATTTTTGTCATAAATGATATCAACAAAAACAATAAAATGTGCCAGTAATACTCTATAAATACTATAGAAAAGTCAAAACTGGAGCATTTCTGCCCTGACGACCCATAACATAATTCAAATAAATCTGTTATCACAACATAAAAATGGTGCTCTTGGATGCCATTTTCACACTATTTGCAACTTTAGAAATAAAATTCATATCTCAATATATAATTATTCATAGATACAATACTGCAATTTTCATCGTAATTTATTTATGCAAGCCTACAAATCAATGTTGCTTTTTCTGACATTTAAAATAGTTTTTGGGGGGTGCTCGGTGGTACGTTCAGTTGAGCGTCTAATTCTTGGTTTGGGCTCATGTCGTGATCTCCGGGTCAGGCTCTCTGCTGCTTGGGATTCTCTCTTGCTCTGTCTCTGCCCCTCCCCACTGAGCGCACATGTGTGCGTATGAACTCTCTCTTTCTCAAATAAATAATCTTTAAAAAAAATTAAAATAGTTTTTGGCAGAAGTCTCACCATTTTACTAATTTATTTTCCTACGGGCTTGTGATAGATCAGTGGTAATTCAAAGACATTTAAATTACCTTAAGTTGTCTGTCTCATAATAACTCATCAAACTATTTGTTGTATGTGACTTTCTGTATTTGTATGATATTAAAACAATTTTTTCACAATATGATTTTATTAATAGTGTGAAAGCATCAGTGATAACTGTGAACATTAAATTTCTTTTAAACATCCATGTCTTGGCTTTAATATTGTACATATTGGACTCCATAGCACTGTAAGTAAATATGAAAATAGTTCCCATTTCCTTGCACAGGTATTAAGCTATAACACCATTTACAAATTATTATGGACAAGGTTACCTCTGGAATAAGTAATATACATTTGGACAACCAGAATTAAATGAATATTAAGTCAAGCAAGAAGTAGGCTATGTTCAATATGCTTTAGATGTCAGATTAAAATATTTAATGTTATTTAAAACTTAATTTTCTTACTAATTTAAAGGGACATCTTTTTTTTTTAAGATTTTATTTGAGAGAGAGCATGTGCACACAGAGGGAGAGTGAGAGGGAAAAGCAGACTCCCTGCTGATCAGAGAGCCCCATGTGGGGCTTGATCCCTTTTGATTTCTTTTAAAAGGAACATGTTTTCCTGAAAATGCACTACACACTGTTCCTCAGGAAGAATGAAGCACAGCATGGCAATAAAGAAACGTGGGGCTCGATCCCAGGACCCTGAGACCATGACCTGAACTGAAGGCAGATGCTTAACGACTGAGCCCCCCAGGAACCCCAAGAGACATCTTTTCTATATGTGAGTGCTCAAATGAAAACTGAGGAATGTGTGGTTTGACCAAATGACCAAATTCACATATGAGAGTGCTTGCCGCCTCCTCTAGAAGAAGCAATACATTTGCTCATTATCTCTTTCCAACAAAACAATTTTTTTCGTTGTTTTTTTTTTAAATATTTATTTGTCAGAGAGAGAGAGAGCATAAGCAGGGGGAGTGGCAGGCAGAGGGAGAGGGAGAAGCAAGCTCCTCGCTGAGCAAGGAGTCTGACGAGGGACATGATCCCAGGACCCCGGGTTCGTCACCTGACCCAAAGGCAGACACTTAACCGACCGAGCCACGCAGGCATCCCGGCAACAAAACAAGTTTTTAAAATATTTTTTCTTAGCAGGTTGGCAGACTAGAGACAAGTATATCAAAACTACTAAATCTTTCAATAGTCGTAACTTTAAAAAATTAAATGATAACACTGAGGAAAACATCTAAACATTGTAACATCTATCATCAAACATCTAAATGTTTGGATTTTCTTAAAAAGAGCAACAGGAGTGGAGAAACTAAAACTCAACTGGTAAGTACAAAATAAACAACCAGCATGATTTGACAAAGTTTTCTTTTCCCACTCTTCTACTTTTTTTATTTTTTTTTTAAAGATTTTATTTATTTATTTGAGAGAGAGAATGAGAGACAGAGAGCACGAGAGGGAAGAGGGTCAGAGGGAGAAGCAGACTCCCCACTGAGCAGGGAGCCCGATGTGGGACTCGATCCCGGGACTCCAGGATCATGACCTGAGCCGAAGGCAGTCGCTTAACCAACTGAGCCACCCAGGCGCCCTCTTCTACTTTTTTTAAATTTCAACTCTATTGAGATAAAATTAACAAAATCATAATATATTTAAAGTGTGAAACATGATTTGATACATGCATACACTGTGAAAGGAGTCCCAAGGTAAGTAACACATCCGTCACGTCACATAGTTATCTTTTTTTTTTTTTTATGAGAACTCTCAAGTTCTACTCTCTTGGCAAATTTCAATTATACAGGGGTGCTGGGTGGTGCAGTCGGTTAAGCATCCCAACGCTTGATTTCAGTTTAGATTGTGATCTCAGAGTCCTGAGATTGAGCCCCATGTCGGGGTCCACTCTCAGTGTGGAGTCTGTTTAAGATTCTCTTCTCCCTCTGCCCCTCCCTGCCGACTCTCTAAGATAAAATCTTTTTTTAAAAATTTCAATTATAGGGCGCCTGGGTGGCTCAGTTGGTTAAGCGACTGCCTTCGGCTCAGGTCATGATCCCAGGGTCCTGGGATCGAGTCCTGCATCGGGCTCCCTGCTCAGCAGGGAGGCTGCTTCTCCCTCTTGCCTTCCCCCCCCCCTCATTCTCTCTCTCAAAATAAATAAAATCTTTAAAAAAATATATATATATCTAATAAAATAGGTGTAAGATTTAAAAAAAAATTTCAATTATACAGCACAGTATTATTCAGTCACCATGATACACAGTACATCCTCCCTCAGACCTTACTCACCTTATAATTGAAAGTTTGTAATGTTTTTCCAGCTTCTCCTGCTTTCTCTCACCACCTCTCTTCCCAACCTAGCCCCTGGAAACCACTATTCTACTTTGTGTTTCTATGTGTTCAACTTTTTTAAGATTCTACATAGAAGTGATACCTTGTAATACAGGTTTCTCTGTCTCGCTTATTTCACTTAGTATAATGTCCTCCAAGTTCATCTAAATTATTGCAAATGACAGGACTTCCTTCTTTTTTTTGAGTGAATAATATTCTCGCGTGTGTGTCTGTGCATGTGCGCACACACACACATCTTCTTTATCCATTCATCCACCAATGGACACTTCGGTTGTTTCCATACCTTGGCTATTGTGATAATGCTACAATAAACATGGGAGTACAACTATCTCTTTGAAATAATGACTTCTTGTTTCCTTTGGATACATACCCAGAAGTGGGATTGCTGGATCATAAGGTGGCTCTATTTTTAATTTCCTGATGAGCCTCCATACTGTTTTCCATAGTGGCTGTACCAGTTTACATTGCCACCAACAATGTACAAGGGTTCCCTTTTCTCCACATCCTTGCCAGCATTTGTTGTCTCTGGTCTTTTTGATAATAGACATCCTAACAAATATGAAGTAACATCTCATTGTGGTTTTATTTTGCTTATCCCTGATGATTAGTGCAGTTGGACAACTTCTCATATACCTCCTGGCATTGGTAGGTCTTCTTTGGGAAAATGACTATTCAGGTCCCTCGCCCATTTTTATGTATGTATGTATGTATGTATGTACGTTACTGAGTTGTATAAATTCCTTGTATATTTTGGATATTAATCCCTTATTAGATAAGTGGTTTGCAAATATTTTCTCCCATTCCAATGGTTGCCTTTTCATTTGTTGATGGATTTCTTTACTGTGCAGCTTTTCACGTTGATGTGGTCCTACTTGTTTATTTTTGCTTTTGCTGCCTGTTTTCGGTGTCAAATTAAAAAAATCATTGCCAAGCCTGAAGTCTAGGAGATTACCTACTATGCTTTCTTCTAAGAGTTTACAGTTTCAGGTCTTATGCTCAAGTTTTTAATCCATTTTGAGTTGCTTTTTGTGTATAAGTTCAGTTTCATTCTTTTGCTTGTGGATATCCAGTTTTCCCAACACTGTTTATTAAAAACACTACCCTTCCTCCACTGTATATTCTTAACTCTTTTGTCAGAAATTAATTGACCATATATGCATGGGTTTATTTCTGGGCTATTTTGTTCCATTGATCTATGTGTCTATTTTTGACAATACCATACCGTTTTGAGTACTATAGCTTCACAATACAGTTTGAATTCAGAAAGTGTGATGTCTCCAGCTTTGTTCTTCTCAAATTGCTTTGGCTATTTGAGGTCTTTTGTGGTTCCATATAAATTTTAGGACTGTTTTTTTATTTTTGTAAAAAGTACCATTGGAATTTTGATAGTGACTCTGTTGAATCCATAGATCACTTTGGGTAGTATGGACATTTTAACAATATTAATTCTTTGAATAA